TTTAGTGGGGAAATTTAGGGAAATTATTGTATATTAAGCCATTTATTTCTACTACTTTGCTCTTTGGTGTAGATCTGTAGCCCTCTAAATTCTTAAAGAGGATTATTGTTATATAATTTTACTAGACTCTGTAGCTTTAAGAGGATCTTTATATGTATTCGCATGCACGTTTTTAGTGGGGAAATTTAGGGAAATTATTGTATATTAAGCCATTTATTTCTACTACTTTGCTCTTTGGTGTAGATCTGTAGCCAGCAGAGCTTTGTAATAACATGTTTAAAGAGAAAAAAATTCTAGCATTCAGTAAAATAATATGTATAGAATCTCAAATTTTCTCATGTACACAATCATTTAAAATCAACATTGTAGCTCATTGATATGTATAATAAATTATCAAAAAAAATAAAATGGTATATTTGAATGATTTTAAACACAGTCCACAGTGAAGGAAATAATGTAATGAACCCCCATGACCATCTGGTTTCTTCAACAATCATCAATAATTACCAACTCATGGCCAATTCTGCTTTATCCATTTCTCTATTGCCCTCAAAAGCGGACTCATTTAAAGCAACTTCCAGACCTTGTGTCATTAAGTCAGCAAACATTCTAGCATGATTTTCTGAGATATAAGGACTTAAAGAAACACATCATGGTACCTTTATCACACATAAGATAATGAACAATAATTTCTTTAAATTTTATCAAACATCCAGATTTCACATTACCTTAATTATTGTATAATTTTTACACTCATTTTAACAAATTAGGGTCCAATAACATCCACACGTTTAACTGATGCATACGTCTTTAGATTCCTTCCTTCCCTTCTCCCTACTTTCCTTTCTTCTTGGTAGTGATACGTGACCAGTGTCTTGCATAAGGTGTCATTCTTTTCATACTGTGAGTGGTCTTTGATACTCATTGCCTAATTTCATCACTTATCAGGAGCCATAAAACTGACGTGTTCTAATTCTATCGTTCACTCTTCATTTATTTATAGTGGCATTACGTCGAGTTATAGTTATTTTAACTTAGGGGGCATCAGCATCTTTGTCCCATTAAGTCTTTCTGTCTGAGAATGCAGTATGTTTTTCTATTCGTTTAAGTCTATTTTGACTTTGAGAAACATCTTAAGTTACCCTCACTTAGGTAGTTTACTTATTTTTAACAATGTAAACATTGTCATCTTTTTATTACATCTTCTAAGATTTTTTTTCTAAAATATATGTTATTGATTTTATACGCTGATTTTACAACTTGTTACTTTGTCAAGTTCTTTGATTGTTTGTAGTAATGGTCTCATTAGTTCTTCTGGGTTTTCTAGAAACGTGATCACATCTGGAAGTAGAAATATGATTGTGTGCCTCTCATTTTCACTTCTTATGCCTCAAATTGCTTTCTCTTTGCTGACGTCATTGGCATCGCAGTGTGCAAGAGGGCACGTTTGTCCTGCTTATTACCTTTCTATTCATCAAGCACTGTATACTTGGAATTTACTGACTTTTAATGCTGGAGAGGAGACTGTAGAGGCTTTCTTTCTCTTCCAGGTTTTAGGAAATATTTTTACAGTGCTAGAGATAAACTGTACACAATAAAGGAAATAGGACTTTATGAAATTTAGCTATTACATAACAAAGAGCAAGGTGACAATAGTATAATTAATTAATCAGTGTGACAGATTCAGAGCCTCTTAAATTGTACTTTTAAATTCAAATTATTTAGTCTGCCTCTCCCACTGAAGTATCAAACTACTGCTGAGTTATAGCAATGATATTTTTTATTCTAAATATTCTAAAATATGTCTTTATTATAATATGAGGGTACTTCAAAAAGTTTGGGGAAAAATAGAATTAAAAGACAATACAAATCTTTCCATAAACTTTTTGAGGACTTCCCCCACTCCTCACAAAAGAAATAGTTTTGAATATAAATGATTCATTAACAGCCTGCCACGGTTTGAATGATTGTGTGCCCTCAAAATTCAGGTGTTGAAAACTAATCACCAAGATGATGGTATTAGAAGATGAGGCTTTTCCAAAGGGATTAGGTCATGAGGGCTCCAGCCTTCTGAATGGGATTCATGCCCTTACACAAGAGACCCTAGAGAGCTGTCTCGCTCTTCCCCCAGTGAGGACACAGCAACAGGCACCATCTAGAAAGCAGAGAGCTCTCAGCAGACACTGAATCTGCTGGCACCTTGCTCATGGACTTCAGAGACTCCAGATTAAATGTCTGTTTTTTACCAATTACCCAGTCTAAGGTATTGTTTTATGGCAGCTTGAACTGACTGAGACAAAGTCAAAGGAAAACAATTCTACAATTTCCTTTTAGCCAAAATGAAGTCTCATTTAAGAGTATCACAAGTATTCATTTAATTTGTTATAGCGACTGGAGACTACTGAGGCTGGAGATGCTGAAGTTTTGGAGTGCTTCTTAATAACATCTCATATGTGTCCCTATTCTAAACATTTGTCAAGCTCCTTACACAGAAACAATTGTCAAGAAGTGCATACATTTCTGAGCAAGGGCAACCACAAGGAAGCCCAGTGTTAGGAATTTTTTGTACAAATTTATTCTTTAAATTTCAATTGAAAACACATTCGTTAAATCTCTGTTGTATACGAAGTGCTGTACCAGACACAATTTCAATCCTGAAAGAGTTGGCATACTAGGGAATAGCTCAAACAGATTAAATAATTTTAAAAGCGTTAACACTTTTCCTAGGTTTGATTCTGAATACGGCATTAATTTTGTTGTTGTTGTTGTTGTTGAAGGTTTGCATGAAATAAAAAAAATTAGGAAATCCACCTTCTGTTAGCAAAAAAGGAATCTAGAATGCATCACTCAAACTGATGGCCTCTAAAATACAAGTTCACATGCAAATTTAGGAATTTGCTAAGTTCAGTTTAAGATGAGATTTGCATTCATCACAAAGAACATAATTTTACCCTTCTAAATGACTCCTGTTACTATTGTGCACAATAGCCAAGCAAACCTGCTAAGAAAACAGTATACACTTTTTTAAACGTTTATTTTTTTCATAATTTAGCTTAAGAATCAGTCTTAAGATTTTACCCATAAATGCCAAAAACTAGGTTTTGGGATTTAATAGAGATTCATTTTTTGGATCTGAAAAAATGTCATTCCTTGTTATACAAAACTCTGAGAATGTGAATAGATTCTCCAATATATTATTAAAACATTGAGCAGAAAGAAAATACAATAAAAGATTTACATAATTGTAGTAAAATAAAAACATTTAAATAAGAAAACGACGTAAATGTTTTGTGCATATTAATTGTTAGCATAGACTCGATCGATGATCACGTCTGGGTGTGGAACAGCAGATTGGGAGGCAAGTCCCCTAGTGGAGGACATTACAGGACATTATTTCATCTGTGATTTCCACAGGTCACTTACCAGGAGGCAGATAAACCAGTGCATCTCATGACAGACATGGAAGCTTGCATATTTTCTAAGGCAAAAATGCAAGGAATCCATACCAATGCCAGATAACATTCAAACATTTGAGATTAGAAATATGAAGATTCTTCATAAAGTTTGTGGAAAAACAAAATTGAAAGGCAATATGAATATTTCCACGAACTTTATGAAGTCCCCTCGTACATCGTCAGAGGCAGCCTGTGGACCTGTGCATATTCTTGTATATTCCAGTGGTCACACTTCATAGCTTTCTGCCTTGTGCTCCTCACAATTTTTCTTACAACAAGCAATCAGTAAATAAACACATAAAGTCTTCTCTTTTCTATTAATCCATGGAAAAGTATGAAAGGAGAAGAACTCTATGGCCTCCTTGGCCTTATTTCAAATTAAACATTTTGTAAAGCTTTGTGAAGAACATGGTTCACGCTGACTCACCCCAGATTAGGTGAGTCAACACGATTTAGAATCTACACATGGGATGATGCACAACGTTTTTAGAAATAAAACTGGCTGAATTTTAAAAGGTTTCTAGGTGTTCCCATTTACAACAGCTATAGTAGCTACGCACCACTTCTTAAATATGTACAGTGTACTAAGAGGTGATATCAGAACCTCATAATTGCAATCATGTTTAGTCTCACAACTCCGTAAGTCTATTATTATCCTAATTTTACAAATAAGGAAACAAAGGCTCACTATTGATTATTCTCCTTGGCTGAAAAAAAAAAATCTTCATTAAAAGTCACAGAATTGGGTTTTGAACACATTGTATTTAATTCCTTATCAAGTGTCATTAATTGTCACATTATCTACCTTAAAAATATGAAGCTAAACAAACTACATAATTATTGAAAGTTCTCCCAAACGGTGCACAGCTGTAATTCTTCCTGTGATATGACGTAGGTTGGGTTTCTGTCTTTTCACCTGAGCCTTTCTATAGTTTTATTTCCCTTTTCTACTTGCTAATCAAGTTGTATTTCTACTCTCTTCTTTAACACCTAGTTTTTAGGTATACTCAATTTGATAAAACTATTCATGCAGTACTACAGCTAAGTAATTTAGTACTTTTCAAAATGCTCTAAATGGTAGATGAATTTAAAATAACCAATGCTTTCTTATGAATTTCCAATAGTCCTGTGTATGAATGCAATGTAGAGATGAATCTACAGATGGCAGCATTAGGATAGTACAGTATTTCCATTCTGATTTTTTGCTGAGGTTTCTGAAGGTGCTTGCCCTGATTCCAAATACTCATGTCCTCACGCTCTAGCTGAAACAGCATTTCCATAAGCATGACTCAGGTCTTCATCCACAATTGTCTTTTAAAACAAATGCCTCTGTTTTTTACAGGTACGCAAGCTGGTAATTTATAAGACCACATAAAAATGATGTCCACAAACTAGAGATATTAATTTAAAAACATGACAGTAAAGTACTTATATGAATTCCATATCTGCAAGCAATCACACTAAAAGTCTCTACTGAATTAGAAAAGAACTTGGTTGAAAAAAAGCCATAAAAATTTATAAAATTTCAAAAGAAAGCCTACTTACTTGTTCAAATCCATTCTTTTGAAATTCTTCAAAACCAAAGATGTCTAATATTCCGATATCCAATGCCTGCATGCTGAAACAAAACAACACACCAGAGTAAGTGGGCATCCTTAAAGCCCCTCCATGACGCTTGGCTTATCGCTGCCTCAAGTCAGAGGAATCCAACCACTTAGTATGGCACTGCCGATTTGGAATAAAAATATGGAAATAATTACCTTAGAGTCTGGTGGAAAACTCTGAAAGTCAGCAAAGCCAAGTGTTCTTTTAATGCTTTGATTCAAACACAGATACAGTAATAAAAACACATTAATTTGTAAAGTAAAAATGTAACAATACCTGAGTGGTAACTATTTGTTTTTCTAAAACAGTCCTTGTGCCTGTCCCTTTTGATTGGACTTGCTTTTCCTAAAGGAACTTGAGCCTAAGTGTCGAGTGGTTCTCATTAGCTGTTACTTGTACCTTGTTAGGCTACACAAGCAGTAAATCAAGAATTTCTTAATCGTATACATGTACAATATAAGGTAAATCTCAATTAAGTCACACGCATGTGCTTTGATAGCTCAAATTTATCCACCTCAAAAATTATATTGTTATTTCCAAAAGGAATTCTTATAAAAAAGATAGAAGAAAGTGAAATGTTGAAGGAAACATGTTTTTAACTTTTATTGATTGATTGATTGATTATATATGTTTGTGGAGTACAGAATCAAATATCAACACATATGTACAATATGTGGTGATCAAATCAGGATAATTAGTATACTCATGTTTATATAATGTAATCAGTCTTTGTGACCCTTAACTAGTTTCTCCCCAACCTCTTTCCCCTCCCCATTTCCAACCTCTAATGACCACAGTTCTGTTGTGTTTTCTTTGAAAGTTTAATGCATTATTGTGATTCTTTCTTCCTTTCTCTCTCTCTCTCTCTCTCTCTCTCTCTCTCTCATTTCCACTTATGAGTGGAGACGTGCTATTTCTCTTTCTGTGCCTGACTAATTTCACTTAACATAATTTTCTCTAAGTTCATCCATGTTGCTGCTAATGGCAGAATTTCATTTTTTTTAAGGCACAGTAGTACTCCACTGAGTGCATATACTACATTTTCCTTATCCAGTCATCTGCCAAAGGACACTTAGGTTGATTCCAACTGTTGGCTACTGTAAATAAAGCTTCAATAAACATGGAGTGTAGGTATTCCTTCAACGTGATGATTTCCATTCCTTTAAAGAAATCATACAGCACCTTTTGACACTCCTTTATTCAATGTAAACTTTCTCTTGTGGAACTTAATACAGTCTTGGATGATAAAATCTCAGATGTTTGAGTCCACATAGTGAATAAGGAAAGGAGTAAGACTAACCTGAAGCAGTGACAGTGACTCTAACAACCAGGGTTCTGTGAAGGAGGGGTGCACAGGAGGGGTAGGGGAGTGTGCATGAGGGGGCTTTTTGCACAGAAGCCCCTAGATGATTCTGGAACACTGTCCACCAAGAGGACACGCACCCACCTCTTCCACATTGTTGACCTAAACTATCAATGGATACACTATTCTGTTGTCATTATAGTTCTCATAGTGTAGATACCCATTACATTCATTGGTGACAGAATTTTTATTTCCTCTCCACTTGCTTTGTCCAAATTGCAGAATCAAATCGGCAACCAACTCTATTTATGCACCCATATTTTCTTATTCATAAACAGTACATAATCCTAATGCTTTAGGGCCTGTAATATGCCACTTAAATGATCATTTATTTTCTTTAAAAAAGGTGTGGATTCTAGGATATTCTGTTTGTAAGATCATTGGTTGTACATGGTAGAAATATAAGTAGGAAGGAGAGCATTTTAAAAACTCTCAATAACCACAGTGAGATAACATCTAGTTAGAAGAGCTATGATAACAATGAAATCCATATATGGAAATGACACCCGCACTCCCATGTTCATTTTAACACTATTCACAATAGCCAAGAGGTGGAATCAACCTAAATGCCCACCAATGGATGAATGGATTAAAAATTTTTAAAAAAACAACTAAAACCGTGGCATATATACAGAATGGAATTCTATTAGGCTATTAAAAACAAATGATATCCTATCTTTTGCAGCAACATGGATGGAACTGGAAACCATCATGTTAAGTGAATTAAGTCAGGCACAGTAAGACAAATACCACACGATCTGACTCATAGGTGCAATCTAAAGAAAAAGAAAAGCAATTCTCATAGAAGAAGAGAGAATAATAGCAGTTACCAGAGGCTGGAAGGGGAGGAAGGTGGGAGGGGCGGAGAAGTGGGGGACTAACAGGTACAAAACTGCCATCTGCCCTAAATGAATCATTGTGCAGTCTATGCATATATTGAAACAACACACTGTACCCCACAAACACCTACAAGTAAACGTTAAAAAAAAAAAACAAAACAAACACCTCACAATAAACTTCATATGTCAAAGAATACAAAGCAGTGAGAGGAAAGAAAAAAAAATGAATCATTTAATGTAGCTCTCTAACTAATTGATTTATTTTTTTTTAGAAGTAAAAACAGATAGCTTTGTACCTCACCTTATGTGTCCAAATAAATCCTACATGGATTAGACAGTTAAATGTTAAAAGAAGAAATTATAAAAGGTACAAAAGAACAAATAAATCATCTCTTCTGATTTTGGTTTTGGGAAAGATCAAAAGAAATATTTAAAGATGCAATTACACAAGTATTAGACACCTTTGCAACTATTAAACTCTTTTGCAGGATAAGTAGCTTAAATAAAATTAAGCTTCTGGCAGAGGTATTATTTAAAAATGTGTTGTGTCATTCATTTTTTTAGGCTTTTTCAATCTATTGACTGTCTAGTTGTCCGTCCATCATCTGACATCCATCCATTGTTCTCTCCTTCCTGCTGTTTTTATTATGTGCACAAACAGATGTCGGGAATGATGTGCACTCAGTTTACAATGGTGCTGAGGTCTCGGGTGGATTCACTGCTTTATTTTGGTTGTATGTGCATGTGTGTGATGTGTGTGCACATGTGTGGGCACGGGTTGTCCGTGTAATGAGCTGCATCATTTATCTTGTAGCAGCTTCCTGATAAAGCTCGTCAGACCTTGGATTTGTTCAGTCTTAGGTAGGAATATTGGTTCAAACGCTTTTTAGTTGGACAGCTGTGGGCAAGTTACTTAAATTTCCTGAACTACAGTTTCAACGTGTATAAAAATAAAATAAGTAAGATTTGCCCACCTAGATAGTTACTAGAATTACAGGGGATGTAAATACAGTTCTAGGATAATCGCTGATATATAGTGCGTCTCCAATACATGAAAGTTTCCTTTTCATTAAAAAAAAGTTCATGATTAAGCTTACTATATAAATGAAGAAAATGATTAATAGAAGAAGTATAAATAGATAATAGGCATATTAAAAATGTTAATATCATTATGATTGCAAAGACATTAAAAAAAAGTTCATGATTAAGCTTACTATATAAATGAAGAAAATGATTAATAGAAGAAATATAAATAGATAATAGGCATATTAAAAATGTTAATATCATTATGATTGCAAAGAAATAAAGTTTTAAAAATTAGGGTGAGAAAGGTATTGTTCCATAAACTTGTTTTGAAAGTTTAAATTGATAGAATCTCCCTCAAAAGCTATTTGATTCTATGGCATAGAGCTTTAGAAAGTTCCCATCATTTGAAACAGTGCTTCTACGTACAGGAAACTATACTAAGAAAACGATCAGAAATGCAATTAAAGACTCATGAACAAGGATGTTCATTGTTATCTTAATTACAGTAACAACAAAAAGAAATAACAATATCCCACACTAAAGACACAATTAATTAAATAGCATGCATCACATGATGAATTAATTTAATGAAACTGTCAAGTTAACAGAAAGCAATATATTAATTCTGTATAAAGAATAACCTCATTTATACATCCAGGAGACCCGGAAAGAAATAGAGCAAGCCCGAGAAGAGGAAATGTTTACATTTTTTTTATTCTTCCACATTTTCTAAGGCTTCTATATTGAAACGATGTTATTTTTATAACCAGAAAGATCCAACTGATGTTTATAAAGACAATATGAAAACATGGGAAATGTTCATGAAAGCTGAAGATTTTTGTTTAAGCTAAAAACAAAAGCTAGAAACAAACTGTATACCTCTAGAAGATTTATAGTACAATTTCAACCACGTTAAAAAAATAAACCCACAGCACAGGAATAATAAAGCACATACTAACAGTAGAAGTCACAGAATGGTGGGCCTACAGGTGATTTCTTCATTTTCTACATGTTCTTACTGAGTATTACAATAATTTTATCATCAATCTATTTAAAACGCTTTATTTAAAAACATATGATTAAATACACGTTAGGACATTTTTTGATTGGGTGGAGGAAAGGGACATCAGTAACCTTAGGGGATGAGAGAGGAAACTGGAGCCCAGCAATGGAAGGAGAAAGGCATCTCGTTTCCCAGTGACAGAGGGGCAGCAGGGGCCGCAGGAGCCAGCCCTGCGCTGGTCTCAAGCACGGAGGGCTCCTGCGCCTGCTTATATCAGGACCCTTGGGCTCTCACGTCTGACTCCCTTGGTTGTCTCCCAGCTGTCCTCAGCAGGGGGCCCTATAATTACAGCATATAGTTTTGGTAGAATTTAGGGAAAGGCGTAAGAGACACCGGTGACACCATGTCACTTTGCACACACTTCCTCATCCCAATTTTGTGTTGACACACAGTGGACAGGTGCTCAGCCACCAAGGCTTCTGAAGCTGCAGGTGAGCAACAGATAATGTTAATGGAGTCTGGCTAAGACTGGGAAATTAATTGTTAATTAGTAATCTAGAGTACCATACATTTTGTTGAAGGGGCACTCCTCCTAAGTAATTTTTTTTTTCACATTTTATCAACACTGGATTCCAAACATATTTGGTTACAAAACAAAAATGCTTTTTAACAAAAGATGGTAAGGAAGGAAATACGTTGTCAGGAGAAGTATTAAATGTAAATTTAAAGCATTTCTAGGACTACTTTTGCAATTACTGAGAACCATAACATGTTCATTTAAA